TTACCTAGTTGAATTTCCCACCCAGGATAACACAAAGTATCCTATTGGCATGCCTTTTTATACTCCTTTAAATCTGGAATGATTCAAAGTTTCTTTTTTGTCTTTCAGGATTTTAATTTTGTTTTATGGACATAAGTCTGTGGCTTTACAGAATGACAATTTAGAATCATTAGGTACCTTTTTATGATTAAAATACATTTATAAGAAATACTATATAAATTATGATGTGTCTTTCATTAATTCTTATCATACATATTGTGCTGCCTTTTTTTTTTTTCTCAAAACAGAGTAGACTGGTATTATTTTCCTCTTGTACAGATGGGAGACCGATGCAGAGAGGTTAAAATGATCTAGCAGTGCATGGAAGAAGTAGTAATGTCATTCAATTTAGGGATTTTAAAGTCTGTCTTCTTCACAAGACTTCTCACTTCAGAAAACTGTGCCTATTTGTTATATTTACACTTTCCAGTTGAGGAGTTAGTTAAAAATATATGTACCCAAACTGCACAAATTATAATCATCAGACATTAGAGAAAGATATCTGTTTTTAACAGGCATTCCACTCTGAATTTGATCCGCAACAAATCCTGAGCTGTTGGAACACAGGTGATCGTGTCAGTGGCTGACTAGGTGGATTTATCTGGCTTTGGATGGAACGGCTTTACTCCCACCATATGGGCTGTCTGGTGCTCCTCACTTTCATAACCCTGGCTGCTTCATCCATTATCAGACTTATCCTCACTCTCAGACTTGAGATTTTGGGAAACAAAGGAGCACAGGCTACATTCAAACTGTGGCTTTGGCAAATTCCTTAACCTCTCTGGGCCTCAGTTCCTTAACCTCTCTGAAGTTAATGATACGTGTCTTCTATGAAGTTTTAATAATATGTTAGAGATTGGTAATCACTAGGCAAATAATACATCTAAGACACTCATTGTTTTTTAAAAATGTTTACTCTACACTCATCCCTTGGTATTGAAGGAAGATTTGTTTCATGACCCTCCCCTTCCAAAAAATCTACAGATGCACAAATCTGTTCCATAAATTAGCAATGGCATGGTATTTGCATATAACCTAGACACATTCTCTCATATACTTTAAGTCATCTCAAGATTACTTACAACACATAATACAATATAAATGCCACATAACTGGTTGTTATTCTGTATCGTATTTGCATTTGTATTGTTTGAATTTTTAAATTTTCTGAATAGTTTCAATCTGTGGCTGGTTTAATCTGTAGGTGCAGAACTATTAGATAGGGAGGGCCTACTGTATTTAAGTTTTACGTTTTACTCAGAGTATGAAGAGCCTGGACCAGCCTCTGCTCTCTGCCAGTTCACCACATTCACAATCAAAACAAAAGCCCTAAAGCACAGAGTTGTCCCTGGGCCTGCACACACCTGCATTCTATTTTTCCCCCATTACATCCATTTCTGACCAGGTGTATAGGTCTAGAGATAATTTTTTCTTTTTCTTCATTGAATTATTGCTCTTCCTCTTAAAGAATTGATTTATCCTCCCACCATCTGCTTCCAAATAAAAACCTAAGAAATACCCGGTCATCTTTGGGAAATAAATAACAATAGATAGATAGATGATAGATAGATAGATAGATAGATAGACAGACAGACAGACAGACAGGTAAATTGATTCAGTGTTTACTCTGAACTCCTTATTAAATTAGAGATTCCCTAAGGGGTAAAACAGTCAAAGTGCTATTTCCTGAGTAAAAAAAGCTTGTGGTTTACCCTACAGCCCCCAACAGAGCAGCAAGCGCACCTCACAGCATGCCTATCTTTGATGCTGATTTTAACTTTCTGTGTAAGTATCACAGGTTGGGTGGCATTTACTTTTGCATGAATATGATGTTAAACTTTAACTCACATTAATCCAGCAACTACAGTCATGTGCTGCATAATGACGTTTTCATCAACGGCAGACTGTTTATACGACTGTAGTCCCAAAAGATTATAAAATTATTTTTACAGTGCCTTTTCTATGCTATATTTAGATATGTTTAGATACACAAGTACTTACCATTGTGTTAGGATGCCCACTGCACTCAGTACAGTAACATGTTGTACAGGTTTGTAGCCTAGGAGCAATCTGCTACTCCACACAGCCGAAGTTAGCAGGAGGCTGTCCCATCTAGGTTTTTGAAAGCTAAATACACGATGTTTGCGCCATGATGCAATCGCCTAAGACGCATTTCTCAGGACCCTTTGCGCGATGACGCAATCGCCTGAGACGCATTCGTCGGAACCCTTTGTGCGATGACGCAATCGCCTGAGACGCATTCGTCGGAACCGTTTGCGCGATGACGCAATCGCCTGAGACGCATTCGTCGGAACCGTTTGCGCGATGACGCAATCGCCTGCGACGCATTAGTCGGAACCGTTTGCGCGATGACGCAAACCCCTGAGACGCATTAGACGCAAACCCCTGAGACGCATTCGTCAGAACCCTTTGCGCGATGATGCAATCGCCTGAGACGCATTTGTCAGAACTTACAGCCTTGTTAAGTGAAACATGACAGTTTTCTTCTTTCTAATTTTTAATTTTTGTAGGTACATAGTAGGTGTATATATTTACAGAGTGTATGAGATATTTTGATAATGATATCAGGGTAAATGGTGTATCCATCACCTTAAATGTTTATTCTTCGTGTTACAAACAATGCAATTATACTCCTTTAGTTATTCTATAATGTACAATTAAATTATTATTGACTATAATCACCCTGTTGTGCTATCAAATACTAGGTCTTATTGATTATTTCTATTTTTTGTACCCGTTAACAATTCCACTTCTCCACCCCAGCCTCTGGTAACCATCATTCTGCTCTGTATCTCTATGAGTTCAATGGATTTAATTTTTAGCTCCCACAAATCAGTATAGTTTTTGATTATTTCTCTATACAAAGAACTATGTTGGCTGTATAAGAAGAAATTCAAAAGAGAGAAAAAAAAACTTAGTCCCATCCGTGACAATTTACGTTTATTAGAAATGTGCTGGCTCCTATATTGAGCAATAAATAGGGGTACAAAGATGGATACGACAATAACCTAACCCATGAGTTGTGAACAATCTCATCAAATATATTATTTGGTCTATATTTGTTGAAAACAGAACACCAGACTAGCAGGCAATATATTAGTTTCAAGGGCTGTCCCTGAGGCTGAGAAGGTGTTTGGTCTCTAGTAACTATTAATTTGGGGGGAAAAAAGAATAAAGAAAAGCAGCCTTGAGCTATCTTGTCTATTATAAATTGAAAATATCTTCTTATATGACATAATTAATTTTCTGATAGCATTATTTAATGGTGTGGATACAATGTTTTTAATTAAAAATTAAAATACACATATTGTGGAAAAATGTTTTTAAAATAAATGATCTACATTCTAGCAATAAAAACTAACTAGTTGGGTATGTTTCCTTCTGTTTATTTTTTTAATTCTATACTTGGATAGGTATACATCTGTATCTGTATATCTATAAATAATTATCACTGTGCACATAGTTTTATGTTCTATGTTTTTTACTTATTTGTATATTATATACATTTTCTGGTGACCTCAAAAAAATTTTAAATACTTATTTTCAACAGTTCCACTACATGGTTTTAGTTTAACTTATTCAGCCATTATTTTTCTGGAGATACACATTTTATATTAAGTTTATAAATAAATATGAAGTAACTTTTATATATTTCTGAATATTTTCCTCAGTAGTATAGGGCAAAAGAAAACTACTGAAAATCAATGATACTGTAGGGGAGAAAAAAACGTTCACTGAAAATCAACTGACAAAAGGTAGATTAATAGAAGAAAACATATACAAATATATTAACATGTATATGGGCATGGGAGGCATACTAATATTAAAAGCTCAAATAAATGGCCAATTGATGCTTTTGCATCATCTTGAGGTTACAAAAGAATAAGAGCTCAGGACATGGCCAAACAGGTTATGGGAGGGAGAGGAGAAGAAAGGCCTGGAGAAAAGGTGGTCACGTTGTGCAGATGAAACCTGTCAGGCAGCAGCCCTCAGAAGGAATAGATGGTAGCCAGTGGGCAATGTTCCTGTCAGACCTTTACAGGTTTCTGACTCAGTTAATCTTTCCTAGTTATGAATAAGGGAGGGCTTCGCAAAAAGCCTGTGTCCATCTGTTGTTTATTTCACTTTATCTCCTCTACGGGTGCAAATCCCAGCCACTCCCCCCACCCCGCACAAAAGACAGCATTTTAACTACTCTTATGTTTCTAGCGCCGCTGAAGAGCCATCTTGAAATATGGCAAATAAGTATATATGGGGGTAAATTTTTTTTTTTTTTTTTTTTTTTTTGGTCACCAGCCTGGAGTGCAGTGGTGTGATCTCAGCTCACTGCAACCTCCACCTCCAAGGTTCAAGCAATTCTCCTCACTCAGCCTCCAGAGTAGCTGAGACTACAGGCATGCACTACCATGCCAAGCTATTTGTGTGTGTGTGTGTGTGTGTGTGTTCTTATTAGAGACAAAGTTTCACCACGTTGGCCAGAATTGTCCCAATCTCTTGACCTCGTGACCCGCCCGCCTCAGCCTCCCAAAGTGGGGTAAAATATTTTTAGTTTCCTTCAGTAATTTTTTCTATTTAATTATTTTCCCCTTAAATACTACCTTTAATATGCTTAAGTAATTTTAGCAATCATATCATAATGTAAATTCCAATATCATATGATTTAAATGAGGAAGGAAGGAAAGGAGTAAGGAAAGGAGAAAGGAAGGAAAGGACGAAGGAAGGAAGGAAAGAAGGAAGAAGGGAGGGAGGGAGGAAGAAAGGAAGGAAGGAAGAAGGGAGGAAGGAAGGAAGAGAGGGAGGGAGGAAGGAAGGAGGGAAGGAAGGAAGGAGGGAAGGAAAAGAGGAAGGAAGGAAGGGAGGGAAGGAGGAAGGAAGAAAGGGAGGGAGGGAGTTGGTTAAGCTCAAATCTGGTTCTAATGAACTCTATTTCAGTGGGAAGCCTGGAGTTAAGAACTGCACAACAATCAATCTGGAGCATTTTAGTCTTGAGTTGATCTGCTAAAGCAGTTCTGAAGAGGGGTTGATCAAAGGCAACAGGACATGGGGATTCAGCTTCCAGAAGGATTCAGCTTCCAGAAGTAAGTATAGGATCAAGAGGAGCTTAATTGGCCCTAACTGGCCTGAACTCAGAGAAGATAAGAAATGTCCCCTGGTTTAGCTGGCCACCAAACACAATGGTCCAGGAAATGCTACCATCACACAGGATTGTATTCTTTAACACAGAACCTCTTTAAGGCAGAGGTTATTTGTATATGTGATGAGAACACACAAGACTACATTTTATGGGAACAATAAAAACTTCATAAACATTCACATGTTTTATGTCCTTGCATATGATATACTTTCAAGAAATACTTATTTAACCCAATTTTACTATTGTTTATTCCCTGCAAATAATATCTTCTATTTACAATGGTTTTCAATTTGTACAATTGTTTTCAATATGTACAATTGTTTTCAGTTTGTGCAATTACATTTTGTCTGCTACTTTTCTTTTTCCTTTTGTTTTTGTTTGTTTTTGTGTCTTTGACCACTCATTAAACCACACTGGGGATGGAACTTAATATATTGTATTCATTATTTTTCCTTAATATTTGTTAAACTGATGTTAAATTAAAATCTGTTGGGATTCTTTTACTATCCTGGATGATTTAAGTATAATTGGCTTAAACACTAGACCATTTCACAGCTTAAAAGACTAAGAGGTTTTTTACAAGTTTTCCTGATTCTTAGATCTTGAAAATTCATGTTTTGTATCTTCTTTGCAGACTGCCTCTGTTTATCAAAATGCAAAACTAAACTCTTTCAAGAATCACTCACACTAATAAATGTATTAGACTATTAACCTTAAGAACAAGATCTCATAGCAGCATCTCACAACTCTTGTACTATCTGTACCCCAGCTACTCCTCCTCTCTTTACTTCTCAACAGGAACAAAGAAAAATTTTCTTCTCTAACCACAAAAGCTTTGTATTCTTTTCTGGAGTTTTATACCCTGTGAGTGACAATTTTTATTTAATTTTTTAAAGTTACTTTTGCCTCTGTAAAATGAGAAGAAAGTAAGCAATGGAAAAGTTATGGCCACAGAAGTTCTTTGCCTCAGGAAAAGTAGCTAGGTTGCTGTTGAGTAAATAAAGCATTGGAAAAAACAATCTGTAAGACAAGTACAGAATTAGAAGGGAAGGGCATGTGTGCAAAACTAGTGTTTCAGAGTATATATGGGCAAGGTTTGACACTGACTCCTAGATTCATTGGTATAATTATTCAACATTGCAATGAAAAGTCCGAGGGACAGAGAATAGATGGACATTGCAAAGTCAAAGCCATATTCCTGTACTTTTGAGACACAAGAAAGAACTTGACCAGCCCCTGTGGGTGATCCATGGAACACCGACCATATGATTATTATCATCTTTCTTTTGTCCTAGTGTTAGTAAAGCCTGGGAAACAGACGACAAATATTTCATTGCACTTGTAGAATTACTGTGCCTTTTTATCTTTGTGTCTTGTAAAGCAGATTCTTGCATCATGGCTATAGTGCAATGGTCTGGAAATTTGCCACTGCCCTTCAGTTAATTAAGGCTGTGGTCACTTAAGTTGGCTCCAAGTAGGTGCTCCATAAATGTTAGGTGAATGAACAAATATGAATGAATATTGTGGCTGAGGCTGCTCTATCGTAACTCTATTTGTGATAATAATAGTTGACCTGTGAAGTTGCAATCAATACAAACTCTTACGGGCATCATATATAGATCTCTTCTCTTCTCTTCGTGAATTTATATGTTCTAAAACAGGGACTAGAATGTTTTATTTATGTTGGTCACTAATTCATGAGGGAAAAATATCAATTGAAGTGTGAAATGACAAAACAACTTATTATACTTAGTTTTTAAAGATAAATATGGAGTTTCCTACTCACCTGCTTTTTTAAAATAAAATAATTCAACAACTGGGCAGACATCTATTGATCATATACTGCATGCACGGAGCTATGCTATTCCAGGTTACTAGAACCAATGAGAATAGCTAAAGGAGACACGTTGCTGTTAAAACTTAATCCTTGCTCTAATTCTCTTGTATGTGTACATGCATATATGTGTGTATGAAGGATGAAGTGATCAGTGACTTAGTAAGAACATTCTTTTTTTTTTATACTTCACAATTACATAAAGGAAGAAAAAGTTCAAAATCATTAGCAAAATCTCACCTAAATCTATAATTTTTTTTGCAGTTCTCTCTTTCTTATTCCGTACTCCAGGCATTGTGACTCGCATTGCATGACAAGATCTGTACTTTGCACCTCATTCTATGTAGTTAACTGGATATTGTTATTTAACTCACCAGATAGAGAAATGCTCTATAAGAAATGTACACATCCAGATCCAAATTGTGTCTACCTTTATATGTGGTTTCAAATTTTTAGAGTATCTTTGTTTTGCTTTTTAAAAAAAATCTTGCCAGAAACTCTGCTAAGTGAGAAATGGTATCCAATTTAGTTTATACCCTCAGGCACTTACCAGTTTGATGGACCAAAAGCTCAGGCTGATTAATACTTGATGAATAATTGGGAGTATATACACAACTTCACACTTCTGTATCTCTCTACATAATACTATGCATATGTGTGATTTTATTTTTCTAGTCAAATCTCAATATTTATTAATATGAAAACATTAACGAGAATTACATATTGGAAGAACCAGGTATTGAGGTGTCAAGCTTAGACACAAAGAGATATAAGTAGAACATTTCAGGTTCTCTAAATAATAGTTTCATCCGTCACACTTCTGCCAGAATAGACTGTATAGAAGGCAAACCCAATATCTGTGCAACTACCAGTTGTAAAAGGTTCCTGTCACTTCATGTTCTTTCCAGTATCATTTGTCCAGTATGAGCTTAAATATATATTTTATTTATTTCATGGTATAAATGTATTTCCCTATGATACCATATTGCATTTTCCTAAGTAGTAATGGTAAATCTCTTTTGGTTTTTCCAATTTTTTGTTGTTTTGTTTTTTTGTTTTTTTGAGACAGTCTCACTCTGTCATCCAGGCTGGAGTGCAATGGCACGATCTCACTGCACCCTCCACCTCCCAGGTTCTAAGGGATTCTCCTGCCTCAGCCTCCAGAGTAGCTGGCATTACAGGCACACACCACTACACCCAACTAATTTTTGTGTTTTTAGCAGAGACGAGGGTTTCACCACGTTGGCCAGGCTGGTCTCAAACTCCTGCTCTCAGGTGATCCACCCGCCTCGGCTTCCCAAAGTGCTGGGATTACAAGTGTGAGCCACTGTGCCCGGCTGGTCTTTCCAATTTTATTTTTTAATTTAAAAATATAACACACACATAGAAAAGATAAAAAATGCTGAATTAAATGCATAGAAATAAAGTGGGTGCTATGTAGCCACCACTGAGAAGGAGTATGAGTACATGGGTAGTGCCCAGTATCCCTCCATGTGTCCCTTCTGATCACATTCTTCTCCTTATCCTGTAATATCTACATGCATATCTATAGTAATATTGATATAGATAAATATTTACAATTAAATATTATGTGTAAGTACATAAACACATATTCATACATAGAAGTATGCATTACTTCAAGGCACTGATTATATATTAATATGTATGTATGTGATTTCATTTTTATTTTTTAACCTTACAAAAATGAAATAAAGTATGTGTTCTCTTGATTCTTACCTCTTTTAGACAGCCTCATGTTTGTAACATCTGTCTAGATTGTTTTATGTAGCTGCAGTTCATTCTTTTATATCACTGGATGATAGCTTATCGCATAAATATGCAAGAGTTTATCTTTTCTACTGGTGATGGACATTGAGTTATTTCCAGTTTGGTGTTATTACATACTAATAATTCCATGTGGACACCCATTCTGTTGAATATTTATCTAGAAGTGGAATCAACTTGTCACAGACTATGCAAACCTTTGCATTCAGTAGATAATGCCATTTTTTAAGTGAGTATATGAAACTACATTCCCAGAGGCATTATATGAGAGTTTCTGTTACTACACAGTCTCACCAATACATGGTGGTATAAGACTGTTTCAACTTTTGCAAGTCTGCTGAGAATATAATTTTATCTTATTGTGGTTCTAATTTGCAGTTCTCTGATTAATAATGAAACTGAACAGCTTTTCATGTTTATTGATTATTTGAATAAAATATCTGCTAAAGATGTTTGCCCATTTTTCTATTGATTTTTCTGCCTTTGTATTGATTAAAGGAATAATGTATATAATTATGAAACCAGTCCTTTGCCACTACGAATATATGAAGTATATAACCTAGTAGATTTTCTCTTTTTTCATCTTTATTAAGGTACGCCTGATGAATAGAAATTGTGTGTATTTAAGATGTACTAATTGATGTTTTAATGCATGTATACATTGCGAAATGATCACCCAATCAAGCTAATTAACGTATCCATCCCTCACATAGTTGTTTGTATGATAGTTTTGTCACACAAAGGGATATGGGATAATTTGCTATTCTAGCTCCATTTATTGTAAAGACCATTCTTTCCCCTGATACTCTATGATGACACTTCTGTAATACATGAGAAGTACACATACATGAACAAATTGAATCTGTTTCTAGCATCTCCTTTACCTTCAATTACTCTGTTTATTTCTACCTGTGCAAAAACTTCACTATCCTAATGATATGGTTTTTGGCTCTGTTTCCCCACCCAAATCTCATGTTGAATTGTAATACCCAGTGTTGGGGCAGGGACTGGTAGGAGGTGATTTGATCATAGCGGAAGATTCCGCTCTTTCTGTCCTAATGATAGTGAATGAGTTCTCACGACATCTGGTTGTTTAAAAGTGTGTACCACTTCCTCCTTTACTCTTTCTTTCCTGCTCGGCCATGTGAAGACGTGTTTGCTTCCCCTTTGCTTTCTGCCATGATTGTAAGTTTCCCGAGGCCTCCCAGTCATGCTTCCTGTATAGCCTGAAGAACTGTGAGCCAATTAACCCTCTTTTCTTCATAAATTACCCAGTCTCAGGTAGTTCTTTATAGCAGTGTTAGAACAGATTAATACACCTAATTAATATAATATTTTAAATCCTGAGGGTATCTTTTAATTTTTTTTTTTTGAGACAGTGTTTTTTTCTTTTTGTCCAGACTAGAGTGCAATGGCACAATCTCATCTCACTGCAACCTCCACCTCCCAGGTTCAAGCGATTCTACTGCCTTAGCCTCCTGAGTAGCTGAGGTTACTGGTGCCCGCCACCAGGCCCAGCTAATTTTTTGTATTTTTAGTAGACAGGGTTTCACTATATTGGCCAGGCTGGTGTTGAACTCCTGACCTCAGGTGATCGGCCTGCCTCGGCCTCCCAAAGTGCCGGGATTACAGTGTGAGCCACCAGCCCGGCCCTAAATTTTTATTCCCAGATCATTTTCTCTGTGGGGGTTTTACTTCTCTTTTATTCCTATGTACCATTTTTATGAGATTGTAATATTTTAAATTTGTTTTATAATTATGGCTACTATGTGAATAAATATTTGATTTTTAATTATCTATCAGTCTTGTTAGATTATTAAGAATCATAATGTTTAAATTGAAATAAAAATTTATATAGAAATATATGTTCTTTCATAATTATTATTTATTCAATTTGCTATTATTTTCTAACTCTATTTTTACAGTGATTTTAAACATCATCCAACAGATAATTACCAATCACCGACTACTTAGCAGGCATTTGGCAGCATCATGCTACAAAACAGACAAGGTTTCCTATCCTTGTGGAGCTTACATTCTAATGTGTATAGGAAATAATATGTAAAAAAAATAGGAAATAAAATATCATAAATAATACTGGAAGGTAAAGAGGGCTATGCAATTTATAGACAAGGGCATGTGGGATTTAGATGGTATGGTACAGAGGTTTGAATTCTAAAAAGGGTGGCCATAGGAGATTTCTAATTAAGTTGTCAAATTATTGGAAACTTTTCTGACATTTTAATAGAGAGAGAACTGATGCATCTATACCAGAGTGAAAGATATTTTAACACCATATCCAATCCAAAATCTTGGCTTGTTTATCACTTTACTTGGATTTTCCTTTATGCTTATAAATTAAGTATTAGAATTTTCTCTATGAGTGTCTTGTCTCTTATTTCTTCATACTCTTCTTTGAAATTATAATTTTTAAAATTTGTTTTTTAATTATTACTACTATGTGAATAGATATTTAATTTTTAATTATCTATTAGTCTGCTAGATTATTGATAATAAATGTTTAAATTGAAATTAAAATCTATGTAGAAATCATGTACTCTGTAATAGTTACTTATACCATCAGAAGTGGTAACAATTCCTACACCATTTGTTCATTCACTCTTTTATGATTTCCCATTTTACCCAGGACCAAAAGTCATTGGTGAGAGCACACAACCTTGCAACCTTGTCTTTCACTAATACCTAATGGAAAGATTTCAATATTTCACATTTAAATGTAACATTTTATGTTTAAATATAAATAACACATACACACACGTGCGTGTGCACACACACACACACACACACAGAGAGGGGAGAAAGAGAGAAACAGTGAGAGAGAGACAGATTTTAAAGAATTAACTCATGTGATTCTGAGGCTTGGTGATTCCAATAGGGCAGGCCAACAGGCTAGAGACCCAGGAAAGAGTTGATGTTTTATTTCAAGTCTGGAGGCAAAATTTTCTCTCCTCTGTGGGACCTCAGCCTTTTTCTCTTAAGACCTGCTACTGATTGGATGAGACTCATTCACATTATGGAGGGTAAGCTTTACTCAAATTGTACTGATTTGAATGTTAGTCACATCTGAAACAAACAAACAACCTTTACAGCAACATCTAGACCTGTTTTTGACCAAACTTCCAGACATCATATCCTAGGTAAATTGACACTTATACTTAATCTTCACATCTTCATTCTTAGTTAACTAATAATTTTTAATATGAGTCAATGTTGAATTTTAAAAGTGCTTTTATTCTGCAACTATTGAGATAATATTATGTTTTTGTATTAATCTGCATCTGTAGGAATTGTATTAATAGATTTTTCTATTGCTAAATCAAACTTGGATTTCGGGATAAACTCTCATTATTAATTGGATCAATAGAGAGTAGACAGATGAATACTTAGATTTGTCTTACCAACATTTTATTTCGGATTTTTGCCTGTATGTTAAATGGTAAGGTTGAGCAGTAAAATTTCATTTTTTGTCTTTTTCTTATGGGGTTTGGTATAAAGGCAATGTATAAATAATGTAAATTGAGATAAGAAATATTCCCACTGAAAATGTTTATATGAACCTATGAGTATTTTTAAATTTTTGATAGAATTTCTGACAAAAACATGCAGGATTTGAGTTTTCTACCTGGCAAAACTTTCAACTGTTCTTTCAGGTTTTTTACAAATATTATCAGGCTAAGACTGTTTATTAATTTTTGAGTTGAAAGTGAAATGTTATCATTTATATTATATCGTTTTAAGGTAATTTCTTTCATATACCTTCTAATTTATTGTTGTAATGGTTTTATAATATTCTTTAAATATATAAATTATGTCTGTGTTATTTATAGCAATGAGAAATTTAATAACGACTAGATCCACTCTATTGCTTCACATTCTTTAATGGGTAGAAGAAAGGACAGGGAGAGAATGCTTGACTTCAGGCACAGTATGCCTGGAAGTACATTTTGCTAATGCTGTGTTCTGAACTTCTGTCACAGTCCTCTGGTGATAAAAACTGAACTTGCCCCGACACTTAGTTGTTCCTCCTCCAGAGGAACTCACTGGTTGACCATGAGTTTATTTGATAAACTCGGTGGGTTAAAAGAACACACATTTGGGGAACAGAACAGTAATGGATGAAGCAGTTTCTTTCCTCTGAAACTTATTTCGAGGGCAACTATAACATCTTCTAACTTTTTTTTTTTTCTCTTTGTAGAGTGTAAGAAACCCCTGAAATTTTCTGTACTGGTAAACATGAAAGGCAAACATCCATTGAGACATGGTTCTCTATGAAGTGGGGATGAGTATTCCAACCTCCTCTGAATCTCCACGAAGCAGCAGAACTTTACAAAGGCACGCTCTCATTTTGTATTCTCTGAACCTGTTTCTATACGGTAGGCATGGTGGGGTCACGGCATGCATTCTACTTATCGAATTCATATTGTAGGCTCATCAGAAGGCCAGGCCAATACCTTTAAGAATAAAAGGTCTATAACAGCATGGTTGGTTTTGTCTCCTTTGTGGTATAAGAAGTACCTGGGTAGTTGCAGGCACATAGGAGACACTCACGAAAAATTGGAAGAAAAATTTAATAAACAAATATGCTGCTGACACATTTATGATGTATGGCCCCAAAGTTGTGGATCTGGGGAGTGATGCAAAAAGTCTATTTTGATCTTGGATGTAATCTTTATTCTCTAATCCAGGTTTGTCAGGATAAAACAGATAGAGGATTTAATTCCTGTCAGTCTCCAGTGAATATTTCTAAAAGGATTCAAAATCTGGAGAAAGACTGATTGATGTCCAAAAATATCAATACAAATTCCAGACTAGGCATGAAACTTATAAAAAATGAGGTCAATCCATAATAGACAGAGTATGTAGTCTGTGTGAAATGTAGAGCAATAATCATTACCTCAAGACAAAAAAATCTTTCTCAAATACAGAAGTGCCTTTCCTGATATTAAAACAGATACCTGTAGATATTAATGTCATAATTGTTTGAGGTCACAGAGCTATGCGATATAAGATTTGAGACAAAAAGTTACTACAGCTGACTACTACTTTATTCATCTACTTTATATTTATACTACATTTATCTTGTATGAGCTTTCACAGGATTTTTAAAACAACACATATAGACTTGTAAAAAAAAAGTAGTTCAAAAGGATCCCATTTTGTTCTCAAGAAATGAAACATAACACTATTCAAATATCTGTGAAGCAGCATTAATGGCCATGGTGACAAAACCAGTCTCTGGTCTGCAGTACAATTATAAACTGAGGTATTTAGTGATATCTGACATCAAACAGATATTCAGTGATATCTGGATGTGAAACTTGAGACAAGTTATTTAATCGCTCTGAGCCTCAGTTTTCTCATTTGTAAACGGTTGTAGTGTTGCTTACCTTCCAGATAATGGAATAACATTCTAGGTAATGAGGTAACATGCATTCAGAATGTCAGACACACAAAGGGAGAACTTGATAGGTCAACTTTACCTCAATAAGATTCATGCTAATTGTAGTCAGATGTTTGCATTTTACCTTCTTTCTGTTTGCAAGAAGGACTAAACATTGGAGCATTAAAAGTGAAGCAAGCAGTCAACTGGATAAGACAGGGCTACAAGAAGCTTATGTATTACCTGCTGAGTATTTTTCCAAATGTAGTTTATATACCACTTCCATCAATTAGAACTACCTTGGGGATGCTTCAAGGGATATATTACTTTATTTTCTTTGTATCTGTCAATCCACCCACATGGAAAAGCCTATTACATTCAGGAAAGTATTCATTCTGACTGGAGCACGTTCTGACTGGAGCAGACTATGATGATGGAGACATGCAAGAGTTAAACTGAAAAAATGCAGGTTGAGCCTACTATATCATAATAGAGGAGAAGCTTTTTGTCATACAAAAAACGGAGAGTTAATTAAGGAGTTTCTAAAGTAAGGGAGTACAGGATTATATTCATAAGATCATTCTGAATTGAGCAAAAGCATATTTAATATTTCTGCCCAATCATAGTAGAGTGACAATTCACTTATATTACAAAGACAAGAAGCACAAATGCACAGAGACACCAATGGCAAATGAGGTCCCTTGTGTTGATGCTTATGTCCTGCATTTTTATTATTTTTAGTTATGGCATGCAGGGCTCATTTGCTCAGTTAAACATACAGACCTGTATTGAATTCCACCAGGCAGCAGTTTCTCTTCTTGGCAGTGGAAATTGGAAAATTGAATTTTCCTCTGCATTCTAATCTGATTCAAAATTTATTTTGTATTTAGACCCTTTATATAATTATTGCCATCATCATTATTTAGCAGCTTTTGCTTAATCTATTATTGAAAGATGGGTATTTTCAATTTGGGTGCTCTGCAAAGTCTATTAGGGATAGTTATTGCTAGAAAAATGTGTAGGCGTAATGAGTGAAACTTAGGAACTGCAGCATAGTCACACTTACTGTTCTGAGCAGCCAGGGCAAGGAGTGAGAGGTGGAAAAAACTCCGTGGAGGAGCAAGAAGAAAATTGGATCAGTATACTGAAGGCCTGACTGTTCAACCCCAGCTTTTCATTTAACTGGCTGTATGATTTTGGAAAGAAAATTTCTGAACTTGGTTTTCACATCTGCAATATAAGGAATTGGGAGAAAACGAAATATATGTTGACAGTCTCTTTCAGCGTAGGTCCTCATGAACTTAACCAAACAGAACAGCATTTTGAAGATCGTGAAACTGCCCTGGAATATACTTTCTTCCTGTTTGTGACTTCTGACACTCTGAGGACCCAGTCGCTGCTTGATTATGCCAGCCATAACTACTTCAGATCCCTAAATTTATAGAATCAAAAGACATTATAGAGACCTTTCATTCCAGTGCCATAAAAATGTAATTCTCAGTACCATTAAAGTTTCTTCTGGTGTTTCCAATTAAAAAAAAAAAAACAAAACAAGAACACTAATAAGATCTCATTCTCCATGATGTGATTATTTCACATTGCATACCTGTATCAAATCATCTCATGTACCCTGCAAGTATACACACCTACTATGTACCCACAGAAATTAAAAATTACAAAATTACAAAAAAAGGAAAATAAATTTAGAGAATCATTTGAAGGGTGAAACTGAGGGGACGTTGGGGAACACTTATTCTCCATTCAGCATGGTCAGATTTAAGAAATAAAAATGCAAGATGCCCAGTTTAAATTTGAATTTCAGATAAACCACATTTTATTAGGAATAAGTATGCCCCAAGTATTGCATAGTCAATCTCAGCTTTTATTATACTCCACTCAGCCTGTTTCTAAATTGAGCAATTCCCATTACAAAAACACCCTGGGCTTCTTTCTCTCTCTTCACTCATTTCACTATAGGAACCAAAAGTGATTCATCTTACTGTGGCTTGGGACAAGGAACAGGGGATAAGTGACGCTCAGTCCTTTCTAGTATCTCTTATATAAAACTCCTGACTGCCGATGTTCCCTATTCCATTCTCAACCAGGTGGTTATCTCAGCAATAAAGACCCTGACATGACTGTGAATCTCCACTGACTAGGAAAGAATAGAGAAGTCTCTGTGACTAGGATGCAGTTCTATGGAAGCCCTTTTTGTTTGTTTTGTTTTGTTTTTTGTTTTTTGCTACTTCTAAGGCACATTCTCCATTGGCTCAATTAATAACAAAACATGCCATTTTTATTTCTATATGTTTACTTTTTTGTATCTCTCAATTGGTTCGGAAATTAGGTGGGAATACCAAGAAGAATCACACACTATGAAGAAAAAATATATATATATATATACACACACATATATATATATATATACTTATATATATATATACACACACACACACTAATCCCTTGAATCCTATCATCCTACCTGACAATAAGGAGGCTGATTGAGAAAGCTGTTGTGAAAATATACATATATATACACACACACACATATATATATATATACTTATATATATATATACACACACACACACTAATCCCTTGAATCCTATCATCCTACCTGACAATAAGGAGGCTGATTGAGAAAGCTGTTGTGAAAATACAAATAATATAATTTTCTGAGAATAAGGTACACAGAAGAATTCAAACATTTTAATTCATTCCTCTTGATGAGTTATTTGGAGAATGAGATTATATGAAACTTCACAAACTGAAATCGACAAGCCAAATGTATTGAATTATCTTTCAATCTTTGTTATTTTTGGATGCTATGCTTATTTAGGTAAATGCAAAGAATACCCTTTCCTAAAACAGTTCATATAAAACAACAAAATAGATTATGCTTTTATAGAGTATAAATTAGGGGGCTAAATTGAAACAATACGTGCACAGATACAGCAGATGACATAGTCAAGGAGTAACACCCCGACTTTCTGATACAAAAGTTGATAGTTCTTATGATCCATCATGAAAATATTTAAAATAAAACATTAATTATTTCCTTTTGGGGATGCAGCTAATTAAAAACAAATTAAAAATTAAAAACAAAAGCTAATTAAAAACAAAAACATTTTATTTAGCTAAATCACTCTGGTAGAACAGAGTTACATAGACTATTTATCTTGTGGCTACTCACAATTAGGCGAATGAGCTCACTTTGACAAGGCATGGCCTCCATGTTCCTGTCTTTATAACTCTGAATATGGGCTGGGACTAGGTTATAGCAAGCCAGCACCAGGTAGGCAGAATTTAAGGAGACCATCACTCTCAGCTGCTGACCTGTGCACGCAAAACACTGAAAGCGAGTGTCTCCTTAAAGACCTGGCTTGACTCATTCCAGTCCCAGCATTGCTCTGCATGAATTAGGGTGTTAATAATGGAATAAAGTTGTAGATTTTTACTCAACTTTTAACTTAAAATATGCAAAACAAAACATACAACAAGAAATTTAAATAAAAGTAAATATTTGATAAAGACATGTTCAAATAGCTGATACTTTGTTTTAATTACACTGTTGAACACTTCACAGAATTTAAAGACCATCTGAAAAATGTTTTATAGGAAACAATAAACATTTAAACTGGCCATAGAAACTATTCATTAGCTTTATTCAATATTTATACCAGTTTTATGATTTGAAGAGTTTTTATATATTATTGATCATTCAAATTTAAAATAAAGGCGTACCTCATTCAAGCATCTAGAGTACTTATAAAGCAACTTTTTACAAGCAAAAATATTGAAAACACACGTTTTTAAGCTGCTTATCTACACAAAAGAAGAGAAAGAAATTATAGGATCTTTTAAGACAGAGCTTATTATTTATAATCCTCCATTAATATATTTTTATTTAAAAATATACCTTTTTTATTATTTTTTAAAGTTAATATTTTGA